CGGATACGGAAGCAAGAGATTTTGGGGGTGGGGTGGGGGTGGGGGATCTGGTCACTTGGATCTATCCTTTTCTCGGGGCACTTCAGAAACAAATGTACAGTCAATACCTGACTTAATGTTGCGGCACCATATTGGCGACTACGTTCCTTGTTTTTTCGTCTCCTGGATGTCCGTTAATTCTCTTAAAATGTGATTATAAATTATAAGTTATTTAATTTGAATGACTATTTATAGAATGGGGAAGTTTAGTGAAATATGTGTGGGGAGGAAACGAACGTCCGGGGATAGACCGGAAGTCAAGGCAAGGGATGTAGCCCCGAGCTTCCGCGTGAGATGGCGGGATGGGTTTGGGGTTTCAGGTATTTGTGACGTCACGACCCATAGAAGATGGGTCTCTAGCTGCAAGCTAGAGTCCACTTGATGTGGAACTACGTAGTTGCTGTAGAATCTAGAATAAAATCAAGTTATTTACAATGATTTAAACAACGGTGAATAAACAAGCAATACACCGTCAGATCGATCGCAGTTATCTTCTTTTTGTAGTAACTAATCAAAACAAATATGATAAAACAAGTCATTGAAAGACCCACCAGCCAGCCGCCCCACCACGATAATGGATAAATCTTCACCCCCCCCCCCCAAAAAAAAACAAAAAAAACAACAACAACTAACAAATAAACAAACCAACACCAACCATGGACCATTGCCTGTGACCTTGCCCTGGCCCCTCAGGTCCGTACAAACTACAGAGCGTGGGATGTGCGATTCATTCTTCCTTTCCCCGATTCGTTTACAACCCGTGACAAATCCACTTCTCTCGCAGGTTGTCTCACCTACCACACGACCTCTGACCCTTGGTCCTACAAGTTGACCCCCGACCAGTGTTGTCCATAGGGAGACGTATTATTATGAGCAGTTTAGAACGATTGAGCGCCCCCAGTGCGGCGTATGGGCATGGATGTGTACCTCCAAGGCCAAGCAGTCATTAAGAGGTTCAAGCACTCGACTTTGCCTCATCGCGGGATGACAATATTTTGTACGCTCGTGAGAGGGTCTCTCAAGTTCTCATAACACTATAAGACCCGGGATAATAAAGAATCTCCCCAACATGTCTGAACTGTTAATGTGCAAAGAGTTGAGATCCTGCTCATAAACACTCCCAAAGCAGTGGCTCATCTAGAGTTACTTGAATCACAATGTTAAGTATTTCACCTTAGTCACGAGTGGGAAGTCTCGTTGGAGCAATCTCCGAGCTAGCAACGAGGGCTTATGTTATGCAACTGTTATTGATTCAGACGTAAACCAAATCAGGCACCAAATATTGACCGTGAAAACGTTAAGCCATTCAACAAATTGACATCTTTAGATGTGTAGCCATTCAATAAACAGAAATTGTCCGACGTTTAGCCATTAAACAAACAGACATTCTCAGACAATAAACCATTCAACAAACAGACATACTTAGACGTTTGGCCATTCAACAAACATACATTCAGTAAACAGACATTCTCAGACAATCACAATGGAAGGATTAAATAAATAAATAGAATGAAAATGTAGACTTTTTTTTCAACGAAGATACGTAGATTTATTCAGTTGTGAAAGTGAAGTCGACAACAACACAGATGACATCTACAACAACAACACAGATGACATCTGATAGAAAGTTTATTTGCACAATACAATGCTAGCTACGTAAGACCAATAAAGTAATGCTGTAAAATGGTGTAAAATTGAACAAATTGTCCCGCTAGACTCGGCAATATCATAGAATCAGATTCCTGGTCGACTTCCTATATAATATTCCTATGTATTGTTCCTTTATAATATTCATATACTATTCCTATATATTATTTGGGCAGTAACCATTTAAAGTATCATTAAAAAACTGAGTATATTAAATTAATAATCAATTTCAGTTATACAAGGTAAGTTATTTTAAATTAATATAATATAAATGGAACTTTTTTTAAATTGCATTGTACATATTCATTTTCAGCACATAAAAAAATACATATTTTAAACCAAGAAAATATTTTACATTTATAGTAATTTAAACTTAATACGTATACAGTATTTCTCTAGCGTAGAATCAGCCGTCAATGAATTCCCTTAGTGACAATAATGATTTAATTAGTGATCGTTTAGATTTGGTAACTGCTGGGCTAGCACGCTGGTAAATCCGTACACTAACTGTAAGAGAAAGAATTAATTAATAAACACCTTCAGTCATATTATCACGTTCCTCCTGGTCAAAACATTTGTTATAAAATAATAACTTTCCCTTATTTTCAAAACCTTACAAATTTGACCGTGAACAAATATATCTGAAAATCAACTAATTTAATATGATAAAGCATCCATTTATCAACGTCTATAGTTGAATGAACATTTAAAAATACTAAAAACTATTTTAAAAAACTTAAATGTATAAAAATATTTTTTGAACAAGTTTCCCCTCTTTAATCTTTAAAACAGAAACCACAGCAATGAAATTACGCCAAGAAATGCAGAAATATTTGCGCACCGAGTTTCTCATTTGTGTGTGTGAGCAACGCGCACCGTTTGTACCTAGATTATGACGTACCTAGACGCCATCTTTGTTTCACTTTCTAGGTAAGTCGGTCAGTGGCCCCATAATTTATCAGATCTAGGTGTAGATAAAAAGAAATACTGAAAATTCAGGATAAAATGGCTGATTTATTCATTGATTCTAAGCAAGTCGTCACCATCTTTGACTCGTGGAAGTGTGTATGATACAAATAGAAGCTTAGTAATAATTCTGATGTCATGACTGGTCAACTTGGACTTCCTTCTCTCGGAATTTAATAATAAAAAATAAAATGTATCGCGACAAGGACCCCGTCTGTTGGTTTCATTTCTGAAAACTCCCATTGACCTACTTCCCAAAACTTTCATTTAAGAACAGAGATCAACGTTAGCATTAAAAAAATTATGGGAAAAAATAGAAATAAATAAAAGGTAGTTTATAATTTCTTTCTCTTTTTTTTTTTTCCCCATAGCCATCTCTGAGGTTCCAAAATGGGGTGAGGGTGGGGCTAAAGCCCTACCCTAACGTATAGTTTGTTGTTTAAAAATATTTGTAAAACTTTTTTAACATTATTTCAATTTTTTTTAATGAGAAATTAGTTTAACTGACAGAGGTGATCAGCCCCGCCCCCCCCTCCCCCCAACAGCCAAATCATTTGGAGATCATATAGATTCGAATGAAGAGCCATTTTCTCGTTATGTTAATTAAACTAATCAAACGAACAACGTTAAATGTATTTCTATTTTTACGTGCAGTTGAAATATATTTCAAAGAAAAAAGGAAGGGAAACAAAAACGGCAACACTTTCACATAATACGTGGCGGTGAAACAGAGAAGTGGCAGACGTCGGAAATAACTGTTTCACCCGGACTATGACCGTTCCGAATCTCGATTCTCGTTCAGGTGGAAATTTCAAATTGCGCAGCAAACATTGACGCACATTAACGTTAACGTCACTTTCACAAAACCTGGAAATACCTCTCACACGCACACTCAATTATTATTATTTTTAAATTATATAATTAAAAAAAAAAGAAAAAAAAAGATAGACTTCTAGATTTAGATTAAAACAATTTAAAAAACAACAGTATTTTAATAGTTTGAAGAACAAATCAAGTCTTTGGTATAGAAACGGTCTTTTTGATACGCGATATATTTAAACAATTTATAATGTAAAAAATTACAACCCCAAAACTTCCTTACGGAAATGAAGTTTAAATTTAAAAAAAAAATAGACTTGACGTCAAGCTGTTCAACGATTTTTACCTACTCCCGTCTTCAGACAGATATTTTTGCCTTCCTCTTTGCTTTCTTTATTCCTATTTCATTTTTTTCCTCCTTGAATCTAAAAATAGCTTTAGGTAATTTCTGTCTATCTTTGGCCACCAAGTGGTGGGTTATCCCTCGTCTATTTAAAGCTTCCCGTCGTGCAACAAGAACGACTGACGTACACGAGGCCCGCGTAGATCCGCTGCACTTAGTCACGTGACCCAATTACGGCATGCCCGTGTGAGTAGGCGCGATGGGATGAAGATAACCGTTCCCAGCAGACGGCCCCACAAAGAAATTTGTAGATCGTGAACTACTTGAGTGAAGGTGTGTGTGGTGGTGTGGGGGTGGGGGGGAGGGGGCTGTGAGGCAACCTATCCGAGTCAGTTATTTAGTTAGGCCAGGAATGTGCGATGCCCCAGCATAAGAAACTAAAAATTAGACACCCACTAAAAATGCGGACTGCATGATCCTTGTGTGACCAAGTTGATTTTCTAATCCATTTAACCTGTTCAGTTCAGTGATATCAATATTTGTTTAACATTTCGTTAGAGCATTTTTGTGTGCATAAAATATATATCTATCAGAAATAAGGCATCTGACGACTATTTGAGGACCGCTTCCATATATAATCAGAATCTCCAAATGTAAAACGTAGATTAATGCAAGTTAAACCCCTCTTCCCCCAATCCTCTTTAGTATCCGTAATTAATCATATTTATATTACTGACTACGCCCATGATTTGCCAATGTTTTTAATGCTTCAACTTTAATCTAAAAGCAGTTATGTATGAAATTATTTTAAACTTTCAGCGAATAATTACAATATGGGTCTACGTTTACCATCATATCCTTGTTTGATTTACTTTTTATATTATTATGTGACAGAAAAACTCTAATCGATTCAATATTTCGAGACGAGTCAACGGCCTGACTCCAATTCCCTCTCTCCCCTCTCGGTTCCATCTTGCCAACGCTATTGCTCGACTACTTTATTTGGCGGGTCAGTTCTTTATTTAGCACGCAGAGGTCATGGTGGTAATTTTCTTTCTCCCCGAACACACCGACATTCCCATTGGCTGACGCCATGACGTCTGGGCTAGGTCGCTTTTGATTGGACAGCAACTGGAGCGATTGACGTCACCCCCTCTTTCAAAACAGGATATCATCGAGCGAACCACGCATTAATACTCGAGACAGTCGGCGAGTGAGGGTCGTACTGGTACTTTTTAAAGGAACCATTAATTTACGATAAACTATACATTACAGTGTTCAATCTGTCTGTGAATTGGATTCATAAAATTGTTTTCTCATTTTGGATTACTGATTTATTCATGACAATGGCTACGAGCAGTGATACACAGCGTTTGATTTCTGTGAGTCTCGGTAAGATTGCCCAGTCCCGCGGTCAACGTGGCGGCATTAACCTACACAAGAACCTTCTTGTGGCCACCGTGTTGCACAAGGCAAGGACCGCTTACATGATGCAGTCCTACACGTACCAACAAAATTTACACCGACAGAAATGTCAACAACAACAGATGCAGATTTCTGCCCCCATTAGCGCTCCCGCCCCGGTGTGTAGCACCAGTAACACGTCCCTCTACAGAGAGGAAGTGTCTCAGCCACCCCGTGACTCTAATCTAGACCAACCAACAGCCACGCTGACTGGTAGTGGCGAATGTAGGTCGGAGAACACGGCCGGGCCCGAGGTGACCGTTTACGAACCAATGACAATTCAAGCATCCGAACGGCTCCAGGATAAAGAGAACGCACGACCCGTGTCTGGTGGCCGTTTGACTCCCGACAAGGATTACTCCAAGGCGGAGGGTGAGAACCGCTCGGACGATCATTTGGCGGCGTCCACCCAACTTTCACACGATGCGCAACTCGCGGCTTCCCAAGACAATGGCTGCCAGGGTTTAACGACCCGTGCCTTCACGACCTGCAACGTTCTCAAGCGGCACAGGGAAAACCCCAGCGCGTGTTCCCAGGACCAGGAGGCGGAGTGCCCCGTCAGCAAGAAGGCTCGCGTGAGTAATGACTCATCGCCCTCGCACAGTGACAGTTACTTATCAGACTTGGACGTTTCATCGGACGATTCAGATTCCGAGTCAGAAATAGAAATGATGCACACGTACGACTCACCGCAAATTACAAACCTTGTCAACATATTCAACTCGGGATTTTCTGGACTCTGTGCCCTCTCGTACGATAGCAATAACAACAGCAAAGACCAGGACAACTCTGGTTATCCAAGTGATCTAGACATTTCAGGTTCCACCACACAGTTCACGCCACTGTCAGCAGCAAAGATACGCCCCGAATCGCCCTCGCCTGCCTACTCGAGAAAGATGTCTGAGGCCTCCCTCATGTGCTCGAGTCAGGTCGGACGAATGGATTCCTTGCCATCTGCTATTGTCTTATCTGCATAACTGACATTAACTGAACGTTAGACATTAAATAAAAATATGACCTATTTCTGTGGATTCCCCAAGCACAGAGAGAGTAGACGCCCCAAGCACAGAGAGAGTAGACGCTGCCAGAGGATTAAAAAATAGTGTCCTGACGCCTGCGCCATAATTGGTCTACGTTTTTTTTTCCTAACTGGTCATTTACTGAACCCGGAGGATGCCACGGGCCTGACATGGGCACATTCGTCTGCAGTATGCAGGTGCTCCGCTGGAATAGGGCCCTGTACTTTGCTTCTTGGACAGTTCTCGTACAGTTTATGATGGCCTTCCTTGCGGTCATCATTGTGGATGCGTTCACTGACCGTTGGCCGGTGGCTAACATTGGTGCCAGGCCGAGACGGAGAGACGCTGGATAGCTGACGCGGATCCTGGATATTGTCCGAACTCTTGAGATATTATGAATGAATTATCTGTGGATAATTTTTTTAAGTTCAAATCAGTGGTGCTCAAACCATTATACGGAGTTTGCTCGAACCATATTCCCTTTTAAAGATAGTATGTAACCTAGTGTCAAAAGGTTACAGGTCATGCCTTGTTGGTTTTATTAGTAAATAAGGGCTTTCTAGAAATAAGGCCCATTCGTAAAAAGTTTGGGAACCACTGATTAACGTTATCTTTGTTTTTAAATTTTAGAGAGTAAGTGTGTGAATTTGATTTCATGTTAAAATGGCCTGACTCTTGGTTTTGAATTTTTCAGATGTAGAATTCAACACAACATGCACTTTGGGGCGGGCACACACACAACCACCCCCCCCCCCCCCCCCCCCCCATTTCTTTTTTCTATTTCGAAAACATGTGTGTTAAGCATTAGTCATAGGTCTGTCACTGAAGTTTTGTGAAGTACCAGTACCAGCATCCATTATCATACACTGGCCGTTTTTTTTAAAGATATTTTTGGAGGCCCTCTCTCTCTCTCCTCCTCCCCCCCATTCATTTCCCCTCTTCAATCAGAAACAGCTCTCTCCATTGTTATACAAATCCATATCCTGTGCCTGTAAAATCTGATGTCATCAGGTTGCAAATAAATAAGTAAGTCCTAGGTTTTAGGTTACCCTATTTTCTCATAAGATTTAAGCCCTTATTCCCCACAGTTGGTCTTGCAAGCTGTTGTCATGTGTCAAAGATTGACCATTCCCTAGCCTGAGGTCATCTTTATTACATTTGTGTGTTTGTTTGTATGAGATGTGTGATTTTAGTTAATTTATTTCCTGCCGTCTGGTCATTGGTCAGTTCCTATGTATTTAGTGTGACATTTTTGTTGTCATGAATATGTATTGTATGGTAGATAATTTATATCTTTCAGCCTTATTGTTGATTTGTACTGGTGAATGTTGCAGTTGAGTGATTGAGTACCAGTGTATGTTGAGTGATTGAGTGACCAGTGTGTGATGACAATTTTTCTGAGCTGGCTCAGTTGTAATATGTAATATATGTTATGAAACATTGCAATGATTTGATTTACATTTGTGTTTAGATGTGTGGCCATTTGGTAACATGTTTTAAGATGTGTGGCCGTTGATGAGATGACAAGTTGTGTGTGTGTGATAATTATGAGTGATTGATGGGGTGTTAAAGAATGTTGGTATGTGTGATCAGTCTACTTGAGTTTTGATTGTTCTGGATGAGTGACCAAGATCTATGAGTATGTCTGTACTACCCCATTGTATTATAACATGTAATATTTTTGCCTATGCTCAACATGATGGAAGAGACAAATAATTTATTAATACAAAATGCCATTCCAGCAATGAATTCAAATCTTTTTGTTAACTTGTTTTATTCAATACATTTATCGTTGTGATATGTCTGTGCATTTGTCATTGTGAGATGTCTGTACATTTGTCATTGTGAGATGTCTGTACATTTGTCATTGTGAGATGTCTGTACATTTGTCATTGTGAGATGTCTGTACCTGTTTACTTTGTCTATACATTGTGATGTCACAATGTCCTAATGTCACCATTCCTGTAGGGTTTGTATGGGTGTGTCCTAACTCACACTGACCGCTTGAGTTGTAAATAGAAAAACATGTCTGTTTTACAGTAACAGTATAAAAAGATGTTTTTCCATCAGAGCTGGACATCTATAGTCTATATGAATATAACAATGTGATGGCGATGGTCTATTAGAATAGCACTTATTTAGAACTATAGCACAGAATACAACTATACACAATATAATCATAATATAACTAAAGCCCATCATAGAACCATAGCTCATAATACAACTACTGCACATTGATGATTTATTTATGTTCAGTTGTTTGTATATGTAACTTGAGATGGCATACCAGTTGACGCAGGCAATGTTGCACAATGGCTTTGGCCGATTTTATACCTACACGTGTCCTACTGAGTCACAGTACTATAACGTCAGAGTGCCTGTCCTACAGTAATGTTAATATGAACATTGCTGTCTATATACTGTGCGTCCTAGTACAAGATAATGGCTTTGTTACATCATATCTACTTAACACTAACATCCATACAAGTCCAGACAAATCAATTATCTGGGGTACTGGTACAATATTTACCTGTTCCACAGGTAATGGCCAGAAATCAGTTTATCTTCAACTTTTCTCACTAATGGCCTCTACCTGTACCAGTGGCCTAGCCAAATTTTTTACTGTAATATTTCTAGTCTGAAAATGCTGAAACTGGAAGATATCAATGAATGTTGAGAACTTTAAAATAAATTCATATTAGATTGAAATAGTTTTCTAGTTAAAAAATTATTCGACATCCATTACTTAATACATATTGATGTACCAGTAATTTATAATACTTGTACCATACAATATTCTATTTGAATACGGTACAAGTAAGTGAGTAAAGGACTTTGTGAATTTCTAAAGACTTTTTGTGTTTTTTTTACTTTTATTGTAAAAGTTACTAAAAGTCTTCCTGATTTTCTTTAAGGGCATATAGTTAGAGTCACTCTGGTTGTTATGACCTTTGCTGAACGCATTCCCAGAATCCAAGAACTGTTGGTGTTTATACAATTTGTAATATTGTTCGTCCTTCGCAAGCTAAGATGACCAAGGGTTCATCTTGAGTAGTAGCTTTGACTTGAGTAATATTTTGTTTAAAGTGAGGGAGAATAGCTCGATTTGTCAGCCTCACTCTCTCGTCGTGGGCTGTTTGATCCGATGGCAAGACTTGGTCGAGGCGACTGGCATTATCCCAGGATCAGTAGATGACTAGCTGTGTTTCTTGTGTCTCACTGTGCGTTCTAAATCGCAGAATTTTCATTGAGTCAATGTAATACCGCCGAAGGGACTACATTTCCGGAGTTTGATTTCAGAGTTTACCTTCTTTAAGAACGAGCCCCATCCATCGGGGGGGGGGGTGTTGGCAGTGGCGTAGCTAGGGGAGGGTCCAAATTCGAAAGTCCCCCCGGTCCATACTAGAGGGGGGCCCCCAAAGGAGTGTCCGAATTTATCTTTTTTACATTAAATAATGTCGAATGTCAAAATGTAGGGGCCCCCAAAGAGGCCAAGCCCCGCGAGCCCCCAAATCTCCAGCTACGCCACTGGGTGTTGGTAGTGTTTTTTCTTTCTTGTCTAGACTTTTGCTTGGAATTGACTGGGCGGCCCAGCCCCCTAAATATTACACCATTGCTTCATCAGTTATTATTTTGGAAACAATGCTGCTATCAGCACTATTTATGACGTGCAACTAAGTGTTAATTGAAGTCTCTCCCCCTTGTTACCAATATACCCGATATACAATCATGCTCAGCTCCAGACCGATGACATACCACTATTTGCTGATCTCACTTCCAGACCGATGGCATACTAAATAATAGTATTTTCTGAACTCACTTCATAACCGATGGCTTACCACTATTTGCTGACCTCACTTCTAGTTCTAGACCAATGGCTTACTAATATTTGCTGATTTAGTTCGTTAGCATTCGTTCAACATACGACCGACCTAACATTTTTGCACGCGTGTTCAACTCCGTCCAACGACTTTAGGATTGGATTAATATCTGTACCGTCCTGAAGAATTTGTCAAATTTGAACGATTTTTCCGTGTATTGTTGTTGGTGCCTAATTTCAACTTCGCCTATTTCGTAACCTGGCGGTGGCCGTGTCAATGTGGAAGATGTACGTGTGGTTTTCCCACCATGGGTTTTAAACAAACACGATGGCTGGTGTGAGCTGTCTCACGTGCGAGATTTTAAATGGCCGGGGGGGGGGGTTCAAGGCTTCGCCCTGGTACACAAAGACGACCAGGTGGAGGCCTCGAAAGACTCGGTTAAAAAAATGAGCCAACCACTTGCTCTCCGCGCCACCCCTCCCCTGGCGCCCCGGGGACAGGTGCGTGAGTCTGAGCCAGGACTCAGTTCAGCGACTGTCTTTCTTCTCCCAGACTCTGTTCCCACAGTCGTTGTCACGTTAGTGCGGTACAAAACACAATGGTTAACTGTACAAAGTCTACTATGATTACGAGTGTACCGGTACTTGATTAGACTTAATCAGACATGGATCCCTCACAATAAACATTTTTCAGAGAGTAACACGGGGAAAAAAGGGGGGAGGGTGGCGTCGTGGAACTAGAGCAGTTTTAGAAACATAATCTTACTACAATCCATATCTATCGAACTCTCTATAAAATTGTTCCATTATAATAAATTATATTATAAACTTTTATTTTTATTAAAAAATAATATTATGTCATTGACATATTTGTCACCCCCCTCCACACACACAGGGATGCGGTTTTCCAGGGAATGGGAATGCACGTGCGCACCTCAGAATCCACCCAAGCGTTCTCACACTGCTCACACTGTTCCTCAAAGAGTTGTCCAATGATCAGACGGTGGTGTTTAAAAAAACAACAAAGTGATATCGTGGGAACCACAGTCCCAAATAAATCACGTGGTTTATATTTCAAATATTATTTAGAAATACAAATGAGTTGGTGGGGGGGGGGCACGAGCTTACCCCAAAGAACCCACTCGTAATTAATTGTCAGACAAAACTGACCGGTCGAGGAGTTATTATTACCCCCGCAACAGACCTCGTAAGATAACCCACGCAGGGAAGGCAGTGCTATATTTAGAACAACGTCCCATTTCTTTCAGTGGGCGAAGCACGTAGGCCGTGCTGTAAAACACCATTCATTAACGCACAACTAAGTCATTGTCAGATAAAGATCAGGACTTTTTAAAATTAAAATTACAGCTTTTTAAATCTCAGCATTTCCTTATCAACTTTTTATTCCTATGAACCGGTTATCGTATTTTGATAGCCATAGCGAGGTACAATCGTGTAGCCTTAATGATTGCGGGGGAAAAAATGTAGGTCTTACATTCTTACTATTGGCACTATTGGCAACAAGAAAGGAATGGAGCCCCGAAATCTGGATAACAACGAGAATGGAATGGGCCCCTGAATCTGGATGAGCCGACTGAATGACTCAGGGTAAACGTTCATTCTGTTAAGCCAAGCTTGCTTGCCAATACTACGACGTCTGGCCTGGTAGCTGCCAGTAGTACAACTGAACGGGGGGGGGGGGGGGGGGGGGGGGGGCGGAGAATCTTGGTGGTGTCGTAAACTGTTTTTTTTTTTGTATGTCGGGGTGGGGGTAGGGGAAAGCCCGATAGAGGATTTAACTCTTTATATCCCTGACTTTGTGTTTCTTTCTCCAAGGAATATGTATAGTTGGTCAGCGGTTTAAAGGGAGGGGTCTTCTCATGGGCGTAACGAAAGATTCTCGAACTGCAATTATTCAGAGATTAAAATT